TCCCCGCCAGTGACTGCCCAAGGACTCCTGCAGCCCGGCTTCGCCCGCCACCTGCCTCCGCTCCCCAGGTCGGAATGAACTATCCCAAGGCTCCCCCTCTTCGCCCCTCCCTCATCCTCCTTTAGAAAGATATTTTCTTAAATTCAAGAACTCGTGATCTGCCTACTCCTCTCGTCCATAATTTAAACCCCAGGTCTTTTGAGTGCAAGAGGGGGTGCGGTCTCCCCCAAGACAGCACGCTAGAAGGACAGATTCCCCTTGCCGACCCACTTACACCATGAAGAGGTGCAAATCGGACGAGCTGCAGCAACAGCAGGGCGAGGAGGATGGGGCTGGGATGGAAGATGTGGCTTGCCTTTTGCCGGGCGCGGACCTCCGGCCTGGGGAGGCCTCGGGTGCTAACTCCGCTGGCGGGCCAACTTCAGATGCTGGCGCTGCAGTGGCACCCAACCCGGGTCCCCGAAGCAAGCCTCCTGATTTAAAGGTGAGCGCAGACCGTCCCCAGGCAAGCCCAACCCGCCACGTAGCTTTCCCCACCCCACGCAGAAGTGTCTTTACCGGATAAAAGTGATGGGGACGCTCACAGAGGTCAGAAAGGATGAACGATGTTCCGCTAGGACCGGAGGGGGAAGTTAGGTACCATTTGTGCCTGTCTATCAGTTCCATTCCAGGCCTCTGTGTTCTTCATTATTCAGCAAACGGTTTAATGACTCACTCATCCGAGATTGTTTGAGGAACGCGTGTGAAATGCTATTTGCAGACAAAGGGCTGGCGAGATCTAAGATGCTAACTTAAAAAGTTCCCAGTACTCTTCCTTCTCTAGGAAGGCTGGGGAAGAAGGTTGCAGCATGGGATGCTAAATAGGTTAGCGCTACCTTCCTATGCCAATTAGCCCCTTCCGGGTGGGATTTTTGAGCACTTTCCTGAAGGAAGCTCAGTTTGTCCATCTATGAAAGGGGGGTGTAGATGTCTTGCCGTTAGGTGGAGCCAGAGGTTAATCTAGTGTTTGGAGATCCCTGTCTGCCTGCTGAACCAACCCCCAGGGTGGAGAACTGACAGGTGGCAGGGCAGAGCTTGGGCTGGTTGCGGCCTCGGTTCAAGTTGCACACATGCTGAGCCGGCAGCTAGAACCAGAATTGGAAAGGGCCGTTCACATGGAGCTGTTTATTTTCCAGCCCGAGGTCTTCTAGACAATTGGCGAGCTGTATTGAATATATCTCTGAGTCAATTACAGCAGCAGCCGGGATAAATAATGCGCCTTTGCTGGAGTTACCGCCAGGACTGCCTGCTCAGGCTCCTCAGGCCAGTTCACAAGTGGGCTGAGAGAGATGTCAGCCCCAGGAAGGGACTTAGATGCCTTGGGGATTGATGCCTTGGGAATTTTCTCCGGAGAGGGAGCAGGGTCTGGGATAGGGGAGCAGAAAGGACTCCCGTTAGGTTAAAGCCGGTGTCCTTATGACTGTGGGCACTGAGGAGCTCACCACAGTAAGCCAATGACATTCCTTCTTTGGCCTGAACAGCTCAGAGTCAGGAAGCCAGGTGAGTGCCTGTGCTCTTTTGTGTAGTGTGTGTGTGTGTGTGTGTGTGTGTGTGTGTGTGTGTGTGTGTGACAAAGCTCTTACTACATTCGTGTGTGTGTGTGTGTGTGTGTGTGTGTGTGTGTGTGTGTGTTCATTTGTGTTCCTTGGGGGAAGAAAGCCCCCTCACTCCTTGTGTGGACTTTTAAAATTTTGTGGAAGTTTTGCAAATCTGACCTCTTGTTCACCAACCTTATGTCTAAAGATGGGCTCTGTTGGACACCTAGGCTCTCTTCCAAAAGCTTGTGATTTCAACAGACCCCAAGAAGTGTCATTCCCTCCCCCAAGTGACATGTTTTCTGTTTTAAGTGAGATGACAAGCACAAAGAAGTCCCTTTAATGCTGCAGAGAGGAATGGGGAGGGGACCCTTTGGCCTCACTCTGCTGGCTATGGAATGAAGGCTACAGTATCTCTTCGTAAAAAAAGGCTGAAAATTGTTGTTGTTTGTACCTTCCTGTATCATCTTAACATTGTTTTTTGTACCTTTCTGTATCATCTATTTTTTGTTGTTGTTGTTTTCACTCATTTTGGTCAGGAGCAGATAGAGCAACTGCTCTGACCTGAGTGCAACATATTAACTGCTGAATTGTCCTGAAGGAGAATTGAGCATTGAGGACCTCACCTCCACACATACCCTACCTTTCCGCAGCCCAGCGGTGTAGACCCAACCAAGGAGAACACAGTGACCGCAGCTCACGCTAGCACAGGGAGGCACGCAGAGCTCCTGCCTGTTTATCTCTGTCTGCTTCAACATAACTTGTTTACCACGCGACAGAGACTTCTCTATCACATGAGACATGAGAGCCACCACAGTTTAGCAGGTCACTTACCTTTTCTGAGGAAAGGGACAAGGGATATTGGAGTATGGCCAAACTTGTTTCCCATTGCTGGACAAGTTTTCCATGGCTGATAGCTTAGTGGAAAAATTTCATTGTTGTCTCTACAAGTGGATAGAAGTTGATGTATTCTAAATTAATAGTGGTACCAAAAGGGACATGTTTACTTTTTAATTTGTAATACCGTTTGCTTGTCCCTTACCAGTGTTTAGTTGATGCTGTTTGGCAGTTCTGGCTTGCTTTTGCTTTCATTTTGAACTTGGAGATAGGGACTTTCAGTCCCTTAGTCCCACTTCTATTTTTTGTGACAACTCCAGGGATTATGACTGATAGATTGCCATGGAGGAAATATCTCAAGCAAGGAGCAAAAGCATGTAAGGCTCTGTCTAAAGCACCTCTGTGGTACTAGAAGAAGAAGAAAATTCAGATTTTGCTAGAAACATCTGAATAATGCTCCACTGGTGATGGCCAGCAAAGCAGAGGCTTCTACTGTCCCTGGTCCTTTAAGGAACATTAAATTGTGTGTTGTACATCTCTCGGTTTATTTTGTGTGGGGGTGGGGATGGATATCATGAGATCATAGCTAGAGTCTTGAGCATGCTAACCTAGGATCTGTGATTATGGAGTGGGCCCCCCCCCCGGGAGAAAATAGCTACATAGTAGCAATTTTAAAACGGTAACTATAACAGAAAAGCAACCTGCAAATGGTCCTGGTCCCACAGGAGGCTTGTGTAAACACTTCTGAGGCTTGCCACAACTTCACATAAGCATGTATCCTCCAGGGGAGATCTCAGCAGACAGTATGTAAGGGGAGCAGGACAGTTTAGCATGGATTCCTGTCTAACCACCCAAGCTTACGTCTTCATTCATTTGTTCTCATGATCCCATCCTTTGCTGCTATCCGAGTCCCTGCTTGTTGAGGAGAGATACTGGGGTGGCTTGCCACAGAGTCTGCTGGCTTACCAAAAGTGTAACAGAATTCTCCAGCAAGGAGACTGGCTGCAGTGAGAAGGGATGCCGGGAGGAGCTTAGGAGAAATATGCAGACAGAGACCCTGTTCAGAATACAGCATGTAGTTGGGGCCTGGGTGGACAGCTGTGCTCATTGTGTGTGTCTGCCCTGAGCACTGGAGAAGCCTGAGGTTGGGGGAAGCATTGCCCACCTCCCACCATTCCAACCCCACTGTTTAGCTCAGGGACACAGCCTTTCCTGAGAGGAAAAGCCTGGGGACGATGGCCAGGAAAGTTCCCAGAGGTGCTCTGTCTCCTTATACAAGCCGGATTTCCCCTGGGATTGCTGAGCAGTATCATGGTCATTCCCTGAAGAAAAGTGGGGAGTTCCACCATCCATTGCTCCCATCTGGTTGGAAGTGCTCTTGACTCAAAAGTCCTTTGGGATAGTTCAGAACATGTTCTTGTGTTCTCTGTTCCTACTGAGTGAGGGAGAGGAGAAGACGACAGGCCGCCAAGGGAAATTCACAGAGAAATCCTAGGTGGATCTTCTGTATGGGTGCTCGCAGGGGTTTCAGTACCCTGTGAATGGCTCATGGTCCTTCCTTGTTCATCAGTGCACTGGCAAGAGGGTATGTTTGTGCAGCCAACAGATACTGGACACTTTTAGAGGGAAAGGTATTATTATAAACAGTGAAATCCTGAGAGACATGTATAAAGTTTAACAAAAATTGACAGCTCATCTATTCACTACCTGAGTCAAAAAAATATCATTAGAATTCCCAAGCCTCTGTGTCCATGTTCTTTTGTTTTATTTTACTTTTTTAAGAGCCAGGGGTTGGTTAAAATTTGTGCAATCGGTCTCTAAATGAAGGGGAAGACTAGCTACTTTTTGGGGTGTGGTATGAAGGCATGTGTGTATCCTGGGACTTTGGATGATATGGTGACTGTGGAGTATGGCTATCTGGGACCCTGCTGCATCCTGGAGTCCTACTGTCCTTTAGAAATGATGTTCTCAGGCTTGGAGATCCCTGCATTCTGTGGGACATGGACCCCTGAGGTAGACTTCATTGGGGAAGGTAGGCTTGAGGGAGACCTAACCCAAGAAATGGAAACTTATTTCTTCAGCAAGGCAATGCCTTCATTTTCAGGTGAGCCTCTAGGTCCCTCAGGATGAAACAAACATTTGCAAGAAAATCCCCAGGGCACCTAAGCTTTGTTGTGCTTGGAACACCATGCAGTGGAATCTGAAATATGGCTTAAGCAAGAAGGGTGCTTGAAGAGGAGATGGCTTTAGATCAGAATATTAAAGAAAGGACAGAAGTGTTAGTTAACAAACAAGAGAAGGAGTTCCCGCTAGGACAATAAGATGACAAGA